TTTTAAATTCATATTGCAAAATTGGTCAAATTGAAAATTTTCAAGAATTTCAAATAAAAAGAATGCATTGATAAAAAAAATATATTTTGTTTCACTTGTTTAGTTTAGTTGTATGAGAAAAGCGTAATTAATGAATAAAAACTGCGGTTAATTCCATAAAATGATTGCAAACATTTGCTTATTCTACAGAGTTCAGAAGACATAAAATTAAAACTCATGAAAAATATGAAAACACTTCTAAAGATGTAATTTTCTGTCATCGCAGTGTGAAATAATAAAAAAAAAGATGAAATAATGAAATAAATTTAAAAAAAATGATTTAATCTTATTTTTACTTATGTTGTTTAAAAAAGGGATTTAATTCAAATATGTCTAAAGTATTTCCGACTTCAGTACTTTTGATTTCAGTGTGACGTTTCAAACGTAAACAATCGAAGTTTGACACTTGAAAATAAACCAATTGAATTGGATATTCCAAATGGTATATTAATTTCTATATTTCTCTATAAAAACCTTATCTAATAAAATGACTGCAATCAATGCAGGTAAGACTACTTTCTTTGAAGTCAAATGACAGTGACTGCGTTAATTAACTCTCAGCTTTTCAGTACACCAGTGTCTTTTCTGTCCGCAAACATTCGCCAGTGCCGTTGAAAAGGATGACCATATTTTGAATCATTTTGCACATAAAACATGTACCGAATGCAATCAAAATTTGATTCAAATCGGGGGCAATTTGTACACAATCCACAATGCCGTGACCTGTGTTAAGGTCGAGATGAAAATAGAGATGACATCACCCCTTCTCGATGAATCTATGGAGAAAAGTGAAAGTCAGTGGGACACAAATAGCCATAGTGATGATGATGGTGATTACACGGAGGCTTTTTCAACATACGGCGAAACAATGTGCACTCAAGAAATGCAAATCAAACGTGAGTCATTCGAAGCAAAAGCCCGAACAAATACACTCACTGAATGTTTTCCGACGGAGCCAGTCGCAAAACATGTTGAGCCGGTAGATTCGAATAGCAGGTCAAACAAGAAAACAGGAAGGCCCAAAAAAAGTGCATGCTTGAAAGATGAAAAAGAGCTCACAAATCTCAAGCAAGAAAATGTCGCAAATAAGAGAAACGCTATGGTTCCTTGCGATTTGTGTGGAAAATTCATGTCAAAAGAGTCGATAAAACGGCATAAACGAGTAATGCACAATGAAAAGGGAACGGTATGTAAAACTTGCACAAAACATTTTCCCACCGAAACCGAATTCGTGATCCACAAACCCATTTGCGAGGAACGAAAGAGAAATCTGGAACGTAACAAAAGGGGGGAATTCCATTGCGATACATGTAAGACTATTTTCAAATCAAAAGGCTCGATTCGGGCCCATATGAGATACTATCATGATCCAGAACAAAAGATAAAAACGGTGCCAGCGCAATGTGATCTATGCGGCAAACTGATGAGAATCGATACAATATCGAAACATAAGCGCATCGTCCATCGCGATCCAGGTAAGAACTATTTAAAATGAAAGATTACATGATGAAACGTTTAATATTTGTTTGCCGTCTCTCAGCGACACCAGCTTGTACGCTCTGTTGCAAAACATTTGCCAACGCAGAACAGCTAACGAAGCATAAGCAAGAAGTCTGTGATAAGTCGGGCGCATTTGAATGCACCATTTGTAGAAAGGTCTATGTCCTGAGGGCATCTCTGAAGAAGCACATTCAAAAACATCACGATCCAGGTTATAAGAAGAGCGCCCCGGTTCCGTGCGAAATATGCGGCAAAGTGATGAGAAAAGAATCATTGTCGAAACATAAGAGAATTGTACACATTACGATTGGAAAACATGCTTGTAAATTTTGTGCAAGAGTTTTTTCGAGCGAAGAAGAGTTTTTAACACATAAATCGCTGTGTTTGTGGAAACGGAGTAATAATGAAAGCTTTAAAATTGGCAAATATGAATGTGTGACGTGCAAAATAACATTCCAATTGAAATCTTCGCTTGAGAAACATACTAACTTATTACATCAATAACTAATTTGGAGAATCATTTCGTACATTTCGGGACTCATCATTACAAAATCTTATAATAAACTAAGATTGAAGACACTTTCAGACTCGCTCTAACCTTGATTGGCTTTGTCATTGATTTGTTTTGGAATAAAAATCCAATTTCGCTTGAAAAACTAAAAAAATATTTAAAAAATCAAATTTTATTTTTGCTCCAGCAAAAATGTACTAAATAAAAGTTAGAAAAGTCGAGAATATTTTTCCGATTTTTCTATTCTGTAAATGATGTCCTTTATTTCTCTGGCATTCAAAAAAAGTTGTATTCAACAATATACTTTGTCAAAGTAATTTGGTTTACTTTAGAATCAAATTGACAGCTTGACTGTCAACAATAATTAAAATTTGACACAAAAAAAGCATTTAAAAGGCTAGTCAAAAGTGGAAAAACTACGAATTTCATTGATATTTTGCCCGAAACAAATATTTAATAAGAAATAATGGCTGCAATCCATGCAGGTGAGTGTCTGATGGAATCAAATAACTCGGTTATAAAAGTTTGTTCACTTCAAAGTGACTGTGAAATGATTCAACTTCAAATTTTCAGTTCACCAGTGTTTATTTTGTCCACAAACATTTGGCAGTGCCACCGAGAAGGACGATCACATTTTGGTGCATTTTGCTCAAGAGACATGCACGGATTGCAATCAAAAATTGATTCGAATCGGAAGCAATTGGTACACACTACACAATGCAGTGACGTGCGTTAAGAATGTGAATATGAGAGCACCGGGACACCACAATGCATCACGTCATGTCAATCAACCAATGCACAAGCCCGGAACTCAGTATACCCTGAACAGTGTCTGTTACCCGGCGAATTTTTCAACATTCGAAAAAACGATTTGCGTCGATGGTGTACAAACTAGGCCGGAACTATTTAAACAATATGAACAACGGGGCGTGCCAATTAACAATGAATTTGCAATAAGTCATGAAATCAGTAATGATACCGAATCAAAGCCAATGCTTCAAGTGGATATAATTGAAGACGATAGTTATTTGGATAGTATGCAACGGTATTTAAGCAGCAACACACATGACAATAATGAACAACAATCGAAAAAGAATAGCGCACGAAAGAGTTGCAACGAAAGTGATAGAGCCGAATGCGATATTTGTGGACAGGCAATGTCTTTCAAGTCCATTTCAAATCATAAGAAACTGAAACACACGGCACCAGGTACGTTTTCAATTAAATTACTCATTGATTTTAACTGTTTTAATCAAAATTACATCTCGTAGGTACGCACATTTGTCGAAATTGTCGCAAAATTTTCCCCAACGAAGACGAACTATGGCAACACAAGACAGAGTGTCGAACTCGAAAGAAAACAAAAAAATGGCATAAAATTGGCGAATCAGATGGAAGTGAAAAAGCAACACGATCCACATTGGCCTTTCACAGACATTTCATGTGCCATGACCCGAATTTTATGTTGAATCATAATCCAGGTGTTCAGAAAAATGTTATTGTTGCGTGTGAAGTTTGCGGTGAAGTCATGACCAGCGAACTTATCGTAAAACATAAAAGGGCCGTGCACGGTGGGCCGGGTGCTCATCTATGCAAAAATTGTGGCAAATTATTTTGCAGCAAAGATAAATTGTCGAAACATCGGCGCGAATGTAAGCATGAATTTAACAAAGTGAATGAAGTCAGTTGTGATATATGCGGCCAAGTAATGTCTTTCAAGTCGATTTCAAATCATAAAAAACTGAAACATGCAGCCCCCGGTAAGAACGCAGACAAATTTCAATTTTTGCGAATAGTTTGTCTAATTCGAATGATTTTCTTTCATTTTTTTTTTTTCAGGCACACCTATTTGTACAATTTGCCGTAAAGTGTTTACAAATGAGAATGAACTTTCGCAGCACAAATTGGAGTGTCGAATTAAAAAGAAAAATCGATAATTAGAAAAGACATTTTTTAAATTTTTCAAAAGAAATATCGAATGATAATCGATTTATCGCTCGCAGCCACTGTAACAAAAGGTGTCCGAAAAGAGACAAGCCATTCATGAGATTATACAAAATAATTGTACTTTATACAGTCTTGGAAATTGCCAATGATTTTTCAAACGAACAAAAAAATGATAGCCGATAGAGTTGAACACCTAAATATAAACGAACATTAATAACAAATGCCTCAACTTTGCCTCTAGAAACATTTTTAAAAATATAATCATACACATATTCGTATTGAATGAATCTAATAAATTTTAAAAATAATTTACTTATTTTATCGAGTATTTTATTAAAATGAAAAGAGAAAAAAAAACCTGTGTCGGAATTTAATACTCTGACTTCAGTACTTAGTGCATAGTACTTTGAAGAGTTTGACATTTCAAATAGGTAAACAATAATAACAAAATTGACACTAGAAAATTAAGGCATTTGTATAATAAAAGTTCACCAGGCAAAAAGTAGTAAGTAAAATTGTTTGATTACGAATCGAAGCAGTTATGAATGCAGGTAAGAGCTTCCAAAAGTAAAATGTATGTGCATGTGTTGATTAATCTTCAATTTTCGCAGTTCATCAATGCCTATTTTGTCCGCAAACATTCGGCACCGCGGCCGAAAAAGACGATCATGTTTTGGAGCATTTTGCACAAGAAACTTGCGCCGAATGTGACCAAAATTTAATACGAATTGGCAGTAATTTGTATACTCTTCACAGTGCCGTAACATGCATTAAGACTGAATTGAAAATTGAACCACGCACTGCAACCCCATTGCCGTCTGTCAATTATTCGGGATACAAAACTGAGACCGAAGATGATGTAACCACCGCTGCAAGTGATAATGAAGACTGGTCAACGACCTTTTCTATGATTAAAGAATCGATTTGTACCGATGAGTTACAAGTAAAAGTGGAACCAAACAATGAATATGAGCAACAGAATGTAACAAATGATTGTGATTGGGAAATTGAAATCAAACCAAGGCATCTGATTGAAGTCGTTGGTGAATATGAACATGGTTTCGAAAGCACACAATCGGACTCAGAAATAAAACCCCAGAACGAGGAACAGTCAATAAATAGTATCGAAGAAAATAAACGTAATCGCAAGAGTAGCTGTGAAATTTGCGGAAAAATATTATTGACCACATCTCTAGTACTTCACAAAAAGACTCAACATGCTCCTCCGGGTATGTATTTTATTGAATAAATCATACTATCATAATTTTATTGAACGTCTACCTTTCAGGTTCATATATTTGTCGAATTTGTTACAAAGAATTACCGAACGAGCAAGAATTGTCGAAACACCATGCTGATTGTCTGAGCAAGACGAGAAAAAAGGTTCGATGTAATGATTGCGGCAAAATGTTTAATAAATCAACAATTGCACGACATAAGCGAGCATTTCATTCGCCTGAAGGTACAGTTGGATCTAATTCGAACTTGTGTAATTAATTAATACTGTATTTCTACAGGAACACCTGTCTGTAAACGATGTGGTAAAATATTTTCCAACGAAGGGGAGTTGTCGCTGCATCGATCTGTATGTCTGTTGAAACGAAAGCCAATCGAAAAAGGTCACTTCGAATGTGATATTTGTAAAAAAGTGTTGTCATCAAAAAAATGCGTTAAACAGCACATAAATTTTATGCATAATCCAGAATATCAGAAAAAGACTCAAATTCCTTGCAATATTTGTGGCAAAATAATGGGAAGTGATGCAATTTATCGACATAGGGCAGTTTTTCATTCTGATGCATCAACATACGTTTGTAAACTTTGTGGTAAAAAATCTCCAAATGAAGCGGCATTATTGTCCCATAAAACCGAGTGTCTTAAAAAAGCCAGTAGAAAAATTCCCTGTAATATTTGTGGAAAGGTTTTAAACAAATCAACAATGGCCCGACATAAAGTGATCAATCATAGTGGTGCTGAAGCGTTCGTTTGTAAATTATGTGCGAAGATATTTCCGAACGACGAAGAACTCCAAAACCATAAACCAATATGTCCAACGCGACAAAGACAACTTACCAAATTTCCGTGTGATATCTGTGGAAAACTATTGGTAATCACGGCGATTCCAACACATAAGCGTGTTAAGCATAGCGAGTCTGGTATGAAAATTTAAGATAGATAAGAAATATTTGAAATAATGTTTGAATTTCATTGACAGGTACACCGGTTTGTAAAATGTGCAGCAAAATATGTGCCAATGAGGAGGAATTGGCAACGCATAAACAGCAATGTTGGGAGAAAAGAAAGAATAAAGGATGGCGTAAAAAGGGAGAGTTTGAATGTGAATTTTGTAAGAAAATTTTCTGCCATAAACATTCGCTCCATAATCATCTTAAAGCGTTTCACAATTACAACTCTAAAACAAAACAAAACACGTGAATCAAATTACATACAACAATTATTGCCAAACTATTGTAACATAGTTAAATTAAATGAAAAAAAAAATGTAAGAATCAAGCTAGCAATGCGTCCAAGACCGCTTGAAACTTCAAAGGCCAACTACCGGTACTGGTCTGTATGGTGCCATCGCTGTTGGAAATCGAGCACACAGAACATCATCCAATCTCTGAACAAGAAAAAAAAAAACACATGAAAAATAGAGAAAAAAAATTCAAACCATTCAAATATTAAAGTAAAAAATTACTTTGTAAAATATCAGATTTTTTCGTTTAAGTTCATCGAATATCGATTTGTATGCTCGATCAATTCTGTCATCATGCAGTTTTCTCATTTTTCCCTCGATTTTTTGTAGCTGTAAAATAAAAAAGAGAAACAATTGAATATTTGTTATGATTGTGTATCTAAAATGAGAGAGTGATATTCACCAGTTGATCGGGTATTAAAATAGCTTTGGGCGATGCTATTGTCATTTCAAGTAATCGGAATGCGTCATCGAATTGGTGTAAGTGGACATGTGATAGAATTCGCACATAACGAATATTAACATCAGTATCATCGTAAATCGATAGAATTTCCAAACTTTTATCAGGATTTTCAAGCCTAAGTTGCATGGCAGCAACTAGTCCAATACTTTTTCGATATTGTTTTATGTGTGTGCCTTGGTCCTTTAGATTTTTGTACATATCATATGCAAGTTGATTGTGCATTGGTGTATTCTATATGATTTGCGAAATAATTTTGAAATGAAAATGGTTGGAGGAAAGGTGAATGGAAAAAGAAGAGTCTACCTACCAGTCTAAAGTAAGTTGCAAAAATAATGGCATTTATTTCATTCGAGACGTATCGGTTTTGGTCTAAAATCCGTTTTTCAATCTCATGATATATACGCAATACGTCACCGTACTGTCTATTATCGTATAGTAAATCTAATAAAATTTGATATGTCACCAATTGATCAAATAATTGTGTAACGTGACCATCATCGAAAAACTAATTCGAAACAAAATGAGAAATAGATAAATGTGAGCACAGTAATTGGTTTACCTTAATTGCATATTCCGTTAAATTGAAATGGTGCAATACTCGCATTATTATCGGACCGAATGTATACAATTTTTTCGCTTCAAGTTCAGACCTTCGACGCATTTGATCATGTTTTGATTTGTACATACGCAACGCTCGCCACAATAAATCAATGTCCTGCGGTTCATTGCCTATCACATGTATAAATCTTTTTAAATTATCGATTAAAAGATTCAGTGGTAAACCTTTCTCCACTTTTCGTAGAAAATCTTTTTTAAATTCTTCGGGTTTTGTGGTGAACTCGTGCTCCAATTCACGATTCGCAATGTAAGCAGCTATTCCCAACGAATCTTTAGTGAATAATGTTCGATTGCCGACCAAATTTACTGTATTAACAAGAAAAATATTATTATCGTAAGTAATTTTTTTTATTTTGTATTATTTTATTGATCAAAACAAACCGTTTTTATTACATAAAAACCTTTTGTTCACTAAAATTTTTACGATATTCATGATTCAAAAGATTAAACAATGTCAGAATTTTTCAAAACATATTTTTACATAATTGTTTTGGTTAGGTGCACACGCTGTCAAACTGAAGACTTTTTTGTACTTGATTACGGTTTCGGCTCGACATATGATCTAACGTCAAAAACTGTACCACAACTATGAAAAGTTGAACTATTTCTTAATCACAATTTTCTCATACAACGTTTGAAGTTTGTTATTTAAAATATATGTTATAAAATGTTATAAATAAATTTACTGAATCTAATTTCGTCAAAAACGTTTTACTTTCATATTGTATTTAACGACTGGGTGTACTTTAGCCTTTGACATTTCAAATATAAACAAACCATTCCCGTGTGGAAAAAAAGTGACTGACTGACTGGTTAGCTGAAATCGACTGAAATTAAATTTTGTTAACTGAAGTCGTCGACCCAGTCGACTTTGGTCGTCTATGTAACAGATGACGAATTTGGGACGTTTTTGTATATATAGTCAACTGCGATTGAAGTTGAATTAAGTTGTATTTTTCTCTTCTAGGATTGACTGAAAAATCAGCAGAATCAACTTAAAACAACTTCAATCTTTGTTGGCTTTAGCCAAAAACGTCCCAGATTAGTTAACTGACGTCAGTAATTTTTCACAAGGGTGTTTGACAGTTCTTTATTTATCTTCGTCATTTGTTTAAATATTTTAATTGAACATAAGACTTACTATCTTGAGACACTTTGATCGAAACTAGTTGATAAATATATCAATTTCGCAGTGATAAAAGAAATTATGTCTGCAATCGGTAAGTTTTTTGGTCGAATAAAAGTCAATGTAAAAATAACCGCTGATTCTTTCAGTTCACGAGTGCCTATTCTGTCCGCAAACATTCGGCGCAGACTTCGAAAAAGATGATCATATTTTGGAGCATTTTGCCCAAGAAACTTGCATGGAATGTAACCAAAAATTGCTGCGAATCGGCGGAAATTTATACACATTACACAATGCTGTGACATGCATCAAGAGAGAATTGAAAACCGAACGTTATCATAAAACTTGTTCACAAACAAATCAATCTTTGGTTCTGATTGATAGTCACCAGGAATCGTATAGTGTGTGTTATGAAGAGGTTGCTGATGCAATAGATTCACAAGTAACAATCAAAGCCGAAGAACTAGAGGTTATCGAAGAATCAAATGATTTTGTTCAACATTCGAATAGCCGGCTTCCATCGTGTGAAATATATGAAACAAGTCGATCAGTATTTGCAACGAACCAAGCGAACCAAATTCATGTCACCAATGCTATCAACGACCATTCCATAAATCAAACCAATACAAACTTACATCGGATTAAGTGCAGCGCTTGTGAAAAGACATTCCCTAATAGAAATGGTCTTAAAAGACATACAAGACTATATCACGATGCATACTGTACGAAATTCAATTGTGAATATTGTAGGCGAGTTTTTTTGTCCGAATCATCCCTAAACACACATTACAACTATTGCACGAAAAAAGGGAAGATAGACATCGAACGTAATGGCATTGCTATTGTGTATAACAAACCCGAAAAATCGAAAGTTACTCTGGTTGATTGTTCTATTTGTGGCAAGATATACAATAAAAAAGTTGAACTTGGCAGGCATATGCGACTAATGCACGACCCAAGCTGTACGAAATTCAATTGCAAATACTGTAACTACTTGCTGTTGTCAAGATCGGCATTGGAAATACATTTTAAAAATTGCAAACGTAGAAAAAAGTTGGAGAGCCAATGTGGTAACGAAGTTGCGGGCAATGCGCAACAAGGACAAAATACACAAGTAAATGCAAACGAATACATAAAGCCATTTGGACACGAGAAAAATCCTCAAATAGAGAATGATTACTCATTGATCGAAGAAATGAATATTAAGAGAGAACCGGAAATTAATATCTGATGAGTTAAAGAAAATGAAAAAGACGAAATCGATGTATAGAATACACACAACGGGCACAGTAGAAAAGTTGGGCAAATTTTATTCAATATATGTAAATTGAATGATTTTAATAAATAACAAAAAAAACAATGTTATGTAGAAAACGTTTTACTTTCAGAATGTATTCAACAAGTCAATATGAGATACTTAAGATTTGACTTTGACATTTCGAGTATAAACAATCAATGTTTGACAGGTCTATATTTATCTTCTTATTTTTCATCATTTGTGTGATTATTTTCATAGAAAATAGACACTTTAGTCCGAAGTCATTCATAAATTTAGCGATTTTACTTTTCTTAAATAGTTCAAGAATTAATGGCTGCAATAAAAGCCGGTAAGATTTTAGTTGGATCACATAAAAGCGATTGTAAAAATAACCGCTGCTTCTTTCAGTTCACGAATGCCTGTTCTGTCCGCAAACATTCGGCACAGCCTTCGAAAAAGATGACCATGTTTTGGAACATTTTGCTCAAGAAATATGCACGGAATGCAATCAACATTTAATTCGAATTGGTAGAAATTTATATACTCTGCACAATGCTGTAACGTGTATTAGAGCTGACATAAAAAGCGAGGCTGAAATTGCACTATGCCCTGTTACTAATCAATCCATGTGTTCAACTAAGTCTCAACATGATATGAAAGATTGTCTAGCAACCGAATCGATTTGCGTTGAAAATGTGCTAATCAAACCGGAACCTTATTCGTATGACGAACGGGAATACGATCTAATGAGAACAGATCTGCTGATAGATAATGAAGGAACTAATTTTGACGTTGCAATCGATTCGGCGGTACAAGTTGAAATCATTGAAGGCCAAAGTGTTTTGGAATGTAGCGAATTGGATTTTAGCGATAAATCATATGATAAACTGAGCGGAAGGAAGCGAAAAAATCGGAATCGTTCCAAATGTGATGAATGTGGCAAATGGCTTCATGTTTACGCTTTAAAACGGCATAAAAAGGTCAAACATCAATCACCGATTTGTACAATCTGCACCAAATCTTTTCCAAGTGAAGAAGAACTGTTGAACCATCAATCGGTTTGCATGTTGAAACTAACTGAATCCAACAAAGATGATGAATACAAATGCGACGTTCCTGGTTGCGAAAAGGTTTATCATCTCAAAGCTTCATTGCAGAGACACCAAAAACTGAGCCACGATCCGGACAATGATTCTCAAGTTGCTTGCGAAATATGCAACAAAGTAATGAATAGCCTATCAATTCCACGACATATGAGAGTTTCGCATAATTCTGCCGGTGAATTTGTCTGCAAAATCTGTTCAAAAGTGTTCAAAGGTGAAGATGAACTGGTGGCCCATAAACCGGAGTGTTCGTTAAGACGAAGCAATCAGGAATGGAACAAAAGAGGCGTGTTTGAGTGTGAAATATGTAAGAAAACCTATAGCTCACGAGCAACGGTTTATAAACATAAACAGAAACATCACAATCCAAATGGATTACGAAAAAGCGAACAAAATGTTCCAGTTCCCTGTCATATTTGTGGCAAATTAATGTTTGCCGAGTCTTTGAAGAAGCATATAATATTGCAGCATCATGAACCGGGCACACACATATGTAGACTTTGTGTTAAAATATTTCCGAATGAAGAGGAACTGGCGAACCATCAACAAGAATGCGACAAAACTGGCGAATTTGAATGTCATGTATGTAAGAAGGGATTTTTCCTGAAAGCATCGCTTGTTCGACATGTAAAAACTATTCATGATCTTCAACGCGAGAAAGAAGAACCGATTGCTTGTGATGAGTGCGGAAAAATGTTGAGCAAAAAAACGTTGAAAACTCATAAGCGAATTAAACATAGTCCTCCAGGTAAAAGCCTCGACCAATTTGAAGTTCCAAATTTAAAATGAAAATATAATTGATTCTTAATTTCTTTTCTTTCCCAAACAGGCACAGCAGTTTGTACCACGTGCGCCAGAATATTTCCAAACAACGAAGAACTAATGAGACACAAAACACAGTGTTTATTGAAGAAAAAGCGCTCGATATCGAAGAGACAGAAAAATATTGAAAATGATACAATCTGATACGTGATTATATGATTCTGAATTGAATTTGATTCAATAAAATGTTATGCTATATCAAAATCAAGTAAATCCCTTCTTCATCGTTTTTAAAGTGGAAAAAGGCTCAGTATTTAGCAAAACGGATAAGAGTACTTAAGTTTGATTCTGACATTTCACATGTAAACAATAAAAGTTTGACGCTTGGAAATAAAATAATTGAACTGCGGACTGAGGAAACAGAGCAACTTGAAAATTTCAATAGCCATAAAAAATCATCACGGAAAACAATGTCCAAAATGAACGCAGGTAGGTTTCCCATAAAGCCTAGTAATAATGAGCGCGCTAATTAATAAACATTTATTTTCCAGTTCATCAATGCTTATTTTGTTCGCAAATATTCCACACCGCTGTCCAAAAAGATGACCATATTTTGAATCATTTTGCACAAGAAACTTGCTTGGAATGTGATCAGAAACTGCTGCGAATCGGTGGCAGTTTGTACACAATACCGTGACGTGCATTAAGAGTGATATGAAAATTGAACGGCAAACTGAAGAATGTGGTGATTCTGAATTTAGAACCAAGGGGAATGTTGAAATAACTGCGTGTGAGAGGTTCAACGATGGTTGGTCGAAGACCATTTCTATGAATAAAGAATCAAACGGCACCGCTGAGTTGCGAATAAAATCAGAGCCATTCGATCCATTCGAAACAGGAAATGTGGAGACGATAGACGAGTCGAACAATGATTCTTTTTGTCCCCGAAACGAAATCGATTCTGCAAATGAAATCAAACCAATGCCACTAGACTTTGCACTAGACGATCCAATTGAAGTAAAAATCTATTCCGATTGTATGCAAGATGATTCGAGCAACGAGCAAAGTAAAGAACTTAAATTTACCAGAATTGTTAAAAGGAAGTACAATAAATTAAGTCGAGGCAAGTGTGACATCTGCAATAAGTCCATGCACCGCAGTGCCATATTGACCCACAAAAAACTCACGCATTCAGAAACTGAAAGTTACTCTCGCTTTAGTGTGAAAAAATGTCGCAACAATGATGAGCTCGCAAAACATATCACCGAATGTACTACGAGAAGAAGGAACCGAAAATGGACGCAAAGCACAAAAATGGCATGCCATATATGCAGTAAAGTGATGTGCAGCAAATCTTTGAAACTTCATGTGAATCTCCTGCATAATGATAGCCCTGTTTGTAAATCGTGCGGCAAATTATTTTCGAATGAAGACGAACTAGCGGAACACGTGCCGGAATGTCGTATGAGAAAGAAGCAACGGTCAAAAGAAGTATATGCCACTCGAGTTGGTGAATTCAAGTGTGATATTTGTGACAAGATTTATAATTTACAATCGTCACTACAACGCCACATCAAAGTGGGCCATCAGAATCAAAAAACACCGCCAATTGCATGTGATATTTGTGGTAAATTTGTGATAGGCAAAACCTCGTTGCGACAACACAAAATAGTCAAGCACAGTGAGAAAGGCACGCCAATTTGTAGGCTTTGCAAAAAAGTCTTTCCGACCGAACAGGAACTTTTGATTCATAAACCAGACTGCAAAAGAAAACATAAATGTGTAGTTGAAATAGCTTGCGATGTTTGTGGCAAGACGCTTTATAGTAAGCATTCGTTTGTCAATCATAAGATAACTTTTCACAGCGAAACACCAATTTGTAATATTTGTTTTAAAAAATTTCCCAACGAGGACGAACTATCGAAACATAAAAAGGCATGCATTTTGAAAAAGAAATACGAATGTCATTTATGCGGAAAGATTATTTCAATTGCGTCCAAGAAAAAACACTTGAAACTTTGCCATGATCCAGAATTCAAGGCGAATGGAAATGACAAAGTAACATGCGATATATGCGGAAAGCTTTATCACAGAATGTCTATGTGGAAACATAAAAAAGCCATGCACAGCAAAGCTACAGAGTAGTTTTTATGTCAACGATGTTAAATGCAATATTAGGCATAAATTATTATTAGTCTGATAGGTCCGATAATTACAAATATTTCGATTGTCATAATTTTTAATAAAATTTTAATAAATCACCACCATATTGTATTTATTTTGAAGCATTTTCATTTCCTTTTTTTCAGTATTATCTGAATTAGAAGGCCAAAGGGTCTACATTGCGCTATGATAAAGTTGACTGCATTTGCATTAACTTTTTTCATACTTCTTGATGGTAGATGGATTTGCATGAATTTTTTGTTTATACATTGAAAGCGAAATAGCCTTTGAATTAAAAAAGGAGGTGCTTAGCAACTTTTTAGCAAGACTCATCTAAAAGAAATAATAATATAATATCCTTGTTACTTTAAAAATTAAAATACAGTTTTTGATACCATTACTTTGACACTAGTAAATCAAATTTACCCCGTGTTTTATTGATATCAGTAGTTGACTTTTAAAACGAAATGTTGCTAATCCAACTGCTTGTAACATATGGGTAGATTCATTAAACATGTTTATTATCAAAATATGTGTGAGAAAAAAAAAGAAAATTTTAAGGAATCGCTGAACATTTTGAAACAAATCTCAGCACACAATGAAATAATTTAAATATCGCCTCACGAAACTCATTTTAAAGTTCAGCGATCCTTTTATATTTTCATATAAGCGTTGGACACATGCGGTGGGCGCTGGTGAAGCACTTTTTGTATGGAAATATTTGTTGAAAATTCAATAATACGCCACCTATTAAAGACAATAAAGATTTTCGTTACTACTGCTGTGTTGACACAGCTCTAGCGAACTATATAGCTGTATTGCAAACGTATTGGTACTGAGACTTCGATTCTGTTTATGCGTATGTGTTATAAATTTTGCACAAGCAGCTACGGTTGACAACTGAGTGCAGAATTTGCAATACAAACGGACACACAAAATCAGAGTCAGTGTGTTCTTTAGTAACAAAAATCTTTATGTCTTTTAATAGATGTCGTATTCGTTGAATCTTCAACAAAAAATCTTCGATACCAGCGCCCACCGGACACATGTTTTGATAATAAGTTAGTGCGAAAGCATTCAACTCTATCGTAGCTCAATGTAGACCCTTTGGCCTTCTAATTCAGATAATACTGAAAAGTACGAAAAGAAAACGCTTCAAAATAAACACAATACGGTGGCGATTTATTAAAATTTTATTCAAAATATGACAATCCAATTATATTTTTGTAATTATCAGACCTGTCAGATTAATAATAATTCATTTATTTTTAGATGATGTAAGTTTGTCCTTTTTTTTCGCCTTGAATTTTCGATTTTGACAAAATTTCAGGTGTTTTTTCTTGAACGCAATTGATCTAATCTGTCCGCATAAATGACATTTGTATTTTTTTATCAAAATGCATGACTTTTTATGTTTCGATAGTTCGTCCTGGTTGGAAAATTCTTTTAAACAGATATTGCAAACTGGTGTTTCGCTGTGAAAAGTTATCTTATGATGAGCAAACGCAGGCTTGCTATAAAGCGTCTTGCCACAAACATCGCAAACTATTTCAATTACATATTTACGTTTTCTTTTACAGTCTGGTTTATGAATCAAAAGTTCCTGTTCGGTAGGAAATGCTTTTTTGCAAAGTCTACAAATTGGTGTGCCTTCCTCACTGTGCTTGACTATTTTGTGTTGTCGCAACGAAGTTTTGCTCGCTACAAATTTACCACAAATATCACAGGCAACTGACGTTCTTTTCTGATGGCACCTTTTGATGTGGCGTTCGAGTTTCAGTTGCAGATTATAGACGTTGCCACAAATATTGCACTTGAATTCACCAATCCGAGAGGCATATAATTCTTTTGTCCGTTGCTTTATTTTCGTACGACATTCCAGCACGTGTTCAGCTAGTTCGTCTTTATTCGGTAATATTTTACCACATCGGTCACAAACAGGTGTGCCTGTAGAAATAGAGTACTAGTCAATAAATGTACGTAAGTTCGAATTGGATCCAACCTTCAGGAGAATGCATTGTTCGCATATGTCGCGCAATTGTTGATTTACTAAACATTTTGCCGCAATCATGGCATTGAAGCTTCGTTCTCTTCTTACGGCGACAGTCAGCTTGGTGTTTGAACAATTCTTGCTCATTTGGCAATTCTTTGTGACATGTTCGACAAATATATGTACCTGAAAGGTAGACATTTAATTAAATTATCAAAGAGTTATTTGTTCAATAAAATTCGTACCTGGAGGAGAATGTTTAAGCCTCTTGTGAAGTGCTAGAGATACAGCGAGTAATATTTTACCACAAATGTTACATTCAACCTTACGTTTCTCGTCATTAGTCTTTATGCTATTTGTTAGTTGCAGATCGCTCTCGGATTTTTGCTGTGAATTGAATGGTTCAACTGTTTGACGGTGGTCATGGACACATTTTGTTTTATGGGACAAAAGTTCCGCTTCATTTCGAAATATCTTGGTGCA